GATGTCGGCAGGGGAGCGTCCAGACTAGCGCGCTGAGCGGACAAACAGCTGATTAGCTGTTTGTCGGCTCAGCGCGGCAGCCATGTAAATGTAAATGAAGCCGCGATCATTTAAATCGCAGCTTCATTTACCTTTGCCTATGTGTCTAATCTACATGCCTCTGACAACAGAGGCATGTAGTCTAGACACAGCCTCAGTGCAGGCAAACCTCAGCAAACAATTTACTAATGCACCTCACTATTGACATTGAATATCTCAGCGAGTCTAACCAGAACAATAATCATGTCAAAGAGTGCAGTAGGGAATAACCACTGAGCAATCAAACTAATTTTGATTCGTGACCTAATCTGAATTTAATGTTTGGGTGCCATAAATAAAAGTCTGGTATATCTGTTAGTCTTTGGCTACCTCCTTTTAGTCTGAGCATAAAGCCCTTTTTATTTACATGCATACCTACTAATAGTAGCCTTTTCTGGATCTGTTATATCAGTGTAGCTGTCTTCAATGCTTTCTCCGCTGTTGCTCTCCTCATCAAGTTTGATGTTGACATTTTGCAGTTCCATACGATCCATTTGAGTTGTCAGCGCTTTCTAATACACAGACGAGCTTCTACAGTGTAAACAATACTGTACCTTCTGCTTACAGGTTCTCTCCACCATGTGTTAACTTTCAGAACACTCTGTTCTGCAAACACAACACAAAATAACTTCTTAGAATTTTTCTCAAATTAGATAAATAAGTGTGATTCACTCTATGTTTGTTCTTTGTAATAATATTAAGAGAAGCAACTGTTGCAGACTTGGAAAATACAATAAATACAAACACAATATTCTTTTTTTATGTAGCATCTTTCCACTCAGTCTTTCTTAAAATATAAGAAGACAGACCTACAAAATTGGTTTCCAACCTATTCTAGAATATTAATAAATCACAGTTATATATAGTCTGTCTATAAATAACTAGCATTGCAAACAGGTTTAACGTAAAATATGGCAGAAATTCATTTTTAAAATTCTTTTTTAAAATTGATATCCTGGATAATCATTATGATGCAACCTGTTCCTTATCCACAGATTAAATTTATCAGCTTCGGGTTGTTAATAAGAAAATGCTGTACATAAACTTTACTGGTTAATGTATGAGGTTGCTACATTCAAATTCTTTTTCTTGAGAAAACATTTGGAGACTTGAAAAACGTATTACTAGATAAGTATGGTTACATGTTAAAAATAATCAAACTGCTGCTGGCTGCACAATGCACTTCACCCCCTCATATCTCAGTTTAATACTTGTCCATCAAAACAATTAGATAGTTTTAGATTATGTAAACTATTGCTCCCATGGAATTATTACATATTTACAGAGTTTAATATGCTTGCCCTCTCACAAGAAGGGGTCTGCATAAATAATGATTACTATCTGGATAAATAATCATCTTTTTATATGTCCAACATACACTATATAATTTATAATATATACAGTATAATTATTTGTTTCTGGCATTAACATCAGTTTATCCTTACAATCTCAGGTTACAGATACACATTTACATTTTTTTACCACTGATATTATATAGTTGTATAGCATTTTTTCACTTCTAAAAGTGCGTTACCAAAATGACTTAATAATAGTATTCCTGTTTCACAGATGGGAAAACAAAAGCATACAGAGAGAGATGAAGTGACTTGCTGCAAGTCAGAAGGCTAATTACTGACATATCTGGGTATAGAATATGGACCCCTAACTCTCTGTCCTTGTACCTCCCACATTTTAACATATTAAAATAATCCATTATATATTTCCTGAGTTGTGGACAAGTAAATAAAAAACTGTATTCTTAATGCTAAAACCAAATGTCTAAAAGCATTGCAGAATAAAAATCAGTATTAAAAAACAGCACAAGCAGCATTCTGTTTTTGCTTTATTCTATTCCTAAGCCTGCAATTACTTTTTTAAAGTTTTCAATTTTTTTGTATTCATGGATGTTTAGTTCCTCACTTAATTACCAAACCTTCTCTAGACTATATTGCTATTATTATGTAATTCCTAATATCTACATTCTCCAACTTATTTTTAGCAGCCCAGTATTAAAGTGTGTGTGTAAAATGTAAATGTAAGCTTTAAATGACAACACTGGAGGTAAAAACTGCCCATGAGTAAAAAATTACAATAAATTATCTTACTATAGTCACATTTATTTTATCTAATAAATGAAAAGCAAAAGAATATAATTATGTTTTTGTCAATTTCCTACCAGAGGTCGCTGCTTTGTTTATTCCTTTCTGCTGCCACTCCAGCATTTAGACTGAAACTGATTACTGAATCTGGCATTAAGTCAGAGATAGATAGGTAGGCAGGCTTACATTCCAAGGGTCTGATTTTGCCCACTGAGGACATGAATAACTTCAGCTGTAGCAATGAAAAGAACTGGGTCCTTGCTGAAATAAACTCAATCATAACAGTACCTCTAAAACTAAACTTTTTTGCTTTCCAAGCAGCAGATTCATACAGTATCCAAATGCTTATTTTAAATCTATATTTATGAAAATCAGACAAATAAATAAAGCAATCAAACACACAATCTGCCAGTGCTAAAAGAAAATCTCTGTTGTGAACACTAACACATGTTCATTTTAGAAAGATTCTTCTAATTGTATTGGCCTCGCTAAATTGATTTTTTTAGCATTGAGTCACTGAGTCAATGTCTACACTAGAAAATTATTTTGAAATAACTACATTTATAACTCCCAGAGTAATAAAATCGAAATAGCATGTCCTCACTATGAGGGAGTCTCAAAATTATGCCAAGGCAGGCTCTGTTATTGTGGATGCACTACCTCAACTTAGAGCTCGAGGGAGCACTGAGGAGTAATTACTTTGAATGACTCTGGGGAGCAGTTATTTCAAAACAGCAGCAGCGGAATATCGACACTAATGCTACTTCAAAATAACTATTTTGAAACAAGTGTTATTCCCCGAGCAAAGCAGGAGTACAGATTTCAAAATAACCAGCTCGTTATTTTGAAATAATGGGCTTGGTAGTGTGGATGCTCCGCTTATTATTTCAAAATAAAGGGGGTTATTTCAAAATAATTCCCTAGTGTAGAACAGGGGAAAGAGAACAGAGTAAGAGAAACATCGACATGGATTAATTTACATAGTGATTAGGCTAAGAATATAACATAAGAACAGCCATACTGGGTCAGACCAAAGGTCCATCTAGCTCAGTTTCCTGTCTGCCAACAGTGGTCAATACCAGATGCCCCAGAGGGAGGGAATACAACAGGTAATCCTCATGTGATTCCTCCCCTGTCATCCATTTCCAGACAAACATAGGCTAGGGACACCATTCCTACCTATGCGGAAAGAAGAAGAAAGAAATCCAGTACTGCACAGTATGTACTATATTTGGAAAGGAAAGAAGACTCCTACAGAAAAATATATATTAGGATCTAAGTTCTATTTTAAAGGCTAATCCTTCAAACACTTAAGTGATTCATTTTACTTGCTGTCTGAAAGGATTACAAAATCACTCATATGTGGAACTGTTTTCAAGATCAGATGTTTGGTACTGTACTGAATTACAGCCAATTTTAGGTCCCAATTCTGCAAACACTTACTAATAAGTATATTGCTAATTACCACACATATTTCCCCAGATCTTCATCAATGTTTGGAGGATTAGGTCCTTAATTTGTTGAAATCCTTCTCTCTAGGTCCCCAGTCTTGCTAATTCTTGAACATGTGAGTAACTTTGGATATGTGAGAATTCAATTCCGGAAAAGTCATGCAAAGCAGGTAAGTCAGAATAGGGAAATCTGCGGGGGATTTAAATATCCCCCGCGGATTTAAATAAACATGTCCGCTGCTTTTTTTCCGGCTTGGGGAAAAGCCGGAAAAAAGCGTCTAGACTGGCGCGATCCTCCGGAATAAAGCCCTTTTCCAGAGGATCTCTTATTCCTACTTTCAAGTATAGTACTTCCACTTTGAAGTAGGAATAAGAGATCCTCCGGAAAAGGGCTTTATTCCGGAGGATCGCGCCAGTCTAGACGCTTTTTTCCGGCTTTTCCCCAAGCCGGAAAAAAAGCAGCGGACATGTTTATTTAAATCCGCGGGGGATATTTAAATCCCCCGCAGATTTCCCTATTCTGACTTACCTGCTTTGCATGACTTTTCCGGAATTTGGGGCCAGTGTAGACGTAGCCTATGGCAGTACACATATGCTCAGAGTTTATCTCACAAATAAGGGTTTTCAGGATCATGGCCTCACTGAGTACAATCATGTAGCTGCACGTCAATTACATGCACATTTAGTGCGAAAAACTGTAATCAGTCACTCTGTCACGACAGTATTCCTTACTCTTCACACTTTTCATGCCTAATGAAATCTTATATTGTAGTTTGCAGTACTTTGGTAGTTCTGTTGGTCTCAGGATCAGAGAGAGATGAGGGGGAGTGAGCCAATATTTTTATTGGACCAACTTCTGCTGATGGAAAAGACAAGCTTTAGAGCTATATTGTACTGAAGAAGAGACAACTTATCTCTTTCCCCATCAGAAGTTGGTCTAATAAAATATATTACCACATTCACCATTTCTCTCTGAAATTATATATATATAAAATTTAGATTTTGCTACCATGTATTTTGCAGATTAGACTTATTATTATCCAGTCCTTACAATTCTTAACACCCAGTCCTGCAAACACACATACATGTATGTAACTTTATTTAGAAAATCTGTTGAAATCACTGGGACTATTCATGTAAGTAAACTTCTTCACTTGCATAAGTATTTGCAGAATCAAGGTGCATATTATTTATTCACTTAATTAGAAGGTCAATTTTTCAGATATTTATTAATATTTCAAGGTATGTTTTATGCAAGGTAGTGACTGCATTGAAATGTTAATAATCTTACCCAAATCTGTGCACAACCAGTTATTTATTGTGCAAACTTCTGAAATCTGATCACCTCAGACAAGTAACTACAGGCAAATCTATTTTTATCTTGTATCCAGGGTGGAAAAAAATCCTGCATGTACAAAATCTCTGTTGTACTTTACTTCCAAAGTAATGTACTAATATAAAATACACTGTTCTGATAGAGTCCCAGGTGTGTGCAACAGCATTTTAAAAAGCCCTGTCTTCCAATAGCTAGCCTATATATCAAAGATGTAATACAGCTTTCATATGCTCAGCTTCCAGTCACTGTTGTCTATTGCTGTTGCTACCCTAAGAAGAACAAGCTACAATGTCTTTTCCCCACAAAAGCACATATAAAGGCACAAACTTAAAAAGGGAAGAACTGCTAAGTGGCGATATTATACACCAGCTCCTTTTTTTCTATTTAAGACCAGTACTATTTTTCTCTTAAGTATATGTGTCAGAAAAGTCTGCTGGCTTAACCATGTTCTTTAAATCCAGCTGTAACATGCCTAAGCTTTTGCTGCTTCTTGTGGAATAAGAAAGAAGACTGAAACAAAAGAATGATTTTGTTTCTTTTCGGATATTACATTAAAATGAACATATTGGATGCACAAAAAATTACTCCTTTAAAACAGTATTTCCCTAAACATCTAGAATCAACTATGAAATTTGCTTTAGAATAGAACATAATTTTCTAAAAGGCACTTAGGAAATACGTTTAAATAACTTCTTTTTCATATGTAATGAAACAAGAAAAACATGAACTTGCTTTTCCATTTTATTTCATAGCAATTTCAATTTACTTTCTGTGTTGCATCTAGTATTCTGAATGAGCTGAAGTTTAGCAGATAGACTTATCTGTGACCTTGCTTTATTTACCTAACAGTTGCATTTTCAAGCATTTTGCAATGTTTGGTATTTTTATGTGAATCAGTAGATTTTCCTGTTATTCTCAATGACAATGAATTTAAAGAATTAATGTTTTTTCTAAAGCAATTTGAAGATGAAAAGTGTCATACTTGATACATTAAAATAAACAGATAATTAAAACGAACAATTTATTTTCATATTTATTTACTTACGTGGATGTTAGGAGGTAAACCAAGAGTCTTGATAAAAATTTTCAGTAGTTAGCCAGAGACCCTAAAAGAACAAAAGCATATAATTCGTAATGATCTGGGCTAATGTAGAAAGTTCCTGCTGCTTTCTTTCTTAGATTTTGATTTTCTGCCCAAAAAAGAGCCTGAATTTCATGTCTGATGTAAAACCAAATGCACTTGTTGATGCCAGTTACAACTACAGTATAGCAAATCTTAACTGCCAGTCCTTCACAACTTCATTTAAATTTACAAATTACATTTGCACAAAGTTATTTGTGTTAAGTGGAAGAAGTATAAAATAAAAATAGACATTGTAAAAGTACATATTTAGGTTTACCTCCAAGTTAAACACGTAATCTTGCTTACTTGGTTACTTTCAAAGCAAGTAATATCTTAACTTGCACCTGTAATAGAAAGTTGGCTTATCTGAGACCTTGTGCAGATGGACAATCATTTAAAGACAAATGGGAGTGTAACGGATGAACCAATCAGTAACAACGATACCCCAACACCTCCCTTTGTTAAACTTGCGTCAGCTCTTTTTTAAAAAAATGGTAAATCAATTAACTGGGGCAAACATCAGTCACAGAGGTATTTGCTCTCTGAGCTTGGCATTATAACAAAATGCATATCTGCAAAAAGTTTTACCAAAACTTGTGTCAGAGTCAGGATGTTGTAGATTAGCTTGCTATCTTACTTTGATAAACTCGATTTTCAAGGAAGGAATACAATATTCGTAAACTAATTGTTCATCAGCAACAAAGTTAGTGTAACATAATTAAGCTATGAAAGTGAGTGACAGCATGTTTTAGGGCCTATAACCAGGTTCTATGTTCTCATTCCCAGTCTACCACTGAATTAGGTCCAGATCCTGAATTGAGTTCTACCAAGGAAATACTAGGGCTATGGACTGTGGTCTTTGACATATTGTTTGGCTTGTCTTTGTGGTAGTTTTTCTATCTGGAGAATTGTGACCATTTACTGTAATTATTTACCTCATTGGACTGTTGCAAGGATTCGTACTAGTTAGTATCTGTAGTGCACTGTTTGGGAAGTGTTAAATATTATGTATTTATTTGAAACACGTACTTGAGAAGAAGCTACATTTCTATATATCACTTACATAATTTAGGATTTATCCTTCTTTATCTAATTGAATAAAAATTCTTAATAAACTATATGGACATAGTGATCAAAACACTGATTGCATCCTAAAGAAGGTGCAAGTTAGGATGGTTTTTCATTATTTTAATATCATGTAAAGGATTACACTCACTTGATTATAACTGGCTGAGTAAATACATGCATACACACACAATTAGTCATTTATTTTTCCAGGGGGAAAGCTGAGTCATACAAACAAAAAACATTATTGAAAACCTGTCTAAAAGAGCTTGTGTCATTCAAAAAATTTAAATAGACCCCCAATCAACTTAAAAATCACAATCCTGCCTCAAAACAGCAATTGTTACAAGTAATTCCTAATATTACTGTAAGTGAAGAGATTAGCGAAAAAAATATTGATTTTCAGTTTGTTTACTCTGTCAACTGGGTGTAGTCAGTTTCACCATTTCCCCCTATCGTTTATATGGTGTTTTGTGCAGCAACAGGGGAGAGAAAAATATATCTTTAAACAAATGGAAATGTGATTGCAAACCACAAAAACTGGCAGGAGAATTCAGTGATAAATGTAGTATCAACTCAGGAGCAGCTGTAAAAATTACTGTTAATTATTTTTTTGACCTAACTAAAAAAATATATAGCTAGATTAGCTTTCATTTATTTTTTAAATACCAAGAACATGACGTTTACCATTGAGTAACTGCCATGACCTTTTATTTATAACCACGTTAGGAAGACTCAAAACAGCGACTTTCTTTTCCTCCCACAATGCAATGCAAGCCTGCCCTTATTAATGGGAACAATACCATTAGATGGAGCTTCTAGGAGAGCATCTGGCCACTGAACTCCAGGACCAATTCCAGGACCTACACCTGAAACTATGAGACAAACTGATTGAGCTCCAATTTTCCTTTACTGGACCAATTTCTGTTGGTAGGAGAATCAAGCTTTTCAGCTTACACAGAACTCTTTTTCAGGTTTGTCTTTCTAATACCCTGGGAGCAACACATCTATCACCACTGCATACAACCCTGAAAAGATGTCCTTTCAGGGAAAACTAGTCTGTTGGCCCTGGCAGCAACAAACCAAATAGCCATTACAGATATTACCTGTTCAGGAGGTTTGAAGAGAGCCCTCAAACATGAAAAGGTATCAGCTCAACTATCTTTTGTACTTACAAAATTCTCTGGATGAGAATTGGGTTAGTACTAGTGGTGGTAGCCAGTGTCACTTAGGCCTTGATACTGGACAGCTTTCCTCTCACCAGATATTAGAAATATTTGAAATGAAAAATGGTTTGCAAGTGCAAACAAAATGCCTCCCACATATCCACAATTACCAGGGCTTTCAGTTTATGGAGGCCGTACATCATTAAAGAACCTCGCAAAATCGTACATTTTCAATAAGAATTTGTGCTATCATCTGAATGAACATTTGGCAATCAAATCTTGTTTTGCTTATGGATGGTGCTATACATTGATAAAATAAACCTACATTTGCCAACTTTTTGAACACAGAAAACCAAACACCCTTGCCCCATCTCTTGCTGGGCAGAAGTTTGGGATGTGGGAAGGAGTGAGGACTCTGTCTGGGGATGCAGGCTCTGGGATGGGACCAGCAGTGAAGAGTTCAAAGTGTGGGAGGGAGCACCTGGTTGGGACAGAGGGGATGGGAGGGAATATGGGGGCTGTGCTTGGGGTGCAGGCTCTGAGATGGGTCCAGAAATGAAAGGTTCAGGGTATGATGGGAGGCTCCAGGCTGGGGCAGGCATTGGGATGTGGGGGGAAGTGAGGGCTGTGACAAGGGGTGTGGGCTCTGGGGTGGGATTGGAGAAGAGGGATGCGGCATGTGGGCTCTGGGTTGGGACTGAGGGGTTCAGAGTGTGGGATTCAGTGCAGTATATGGGAGGGAGTATGGGAGAGGGTTGAGGGCTGAGGCAGGGCATTGGGATGAGGGAAAGGTGAGGGGTGTGAGCTCTGGGAGTTTGGGTGTGGTACAGGGCTCAGGGGTTTGGAGCACAGGACAGGGTTCAGGGAGCAGCCTTTGAGCAGCGCTTACCACAGGCGGTTCCTAGAAGTGGTTGGTATTTTCCTCTGGCTCCCAGGTGGAGGCATGGCTAGGCAGCTCTGGAGCGCACTGCCTCGGTCCACAGGTGCCACCCCCAAAGCTCCCATTGGTTGCAGAGCCTGCGCTTGGGGTGGGGACAATGTGTGGAGTCCCCATGGCTGTGCCTCAGCCTAGGAGCCAGAGGGAAATGCAGGCTGAATCTGAGGGCAGGTGGGGAACCTGCTTTAGCCCTGCTGCACTGCTGATTGACAGTGCTGACCCAAGCTGTCAGGATTCCTTTTCAAACAGGTGGTTTGAGCCTGTGGTGGTGCTAACAGTGCAGGAGATATTTTCACCAAAATACAGATGAGTTTATCCGTGTTTCCAGAACTCTGCATTTTGTTAAATGTTTAACCATTATTTCATAAGCATTTTCACAGGACAACCCACTCCACCAGTAATTTCATTTCTTTTAAAATTAAATTACAGTGTGCCCATGTTGAGCCAATATTGCACTTCTGACTCATACGTGGAATCCCTTTGCTAAAGAGAATGACTTGTGCGTGCAAGGCAAGCTGCATTTGGTCCAGAATGAAAATGAATCACGAGTTACTTTAAGGCTTTATCAACACGACTATGTTCAAAGCACAGCTGCAGCGGCACTTTAACGTGGCAATGTGGTCATGGCACCAGCACTGGGAGAGCTCTCCTAGTGCTGTAGGTAAACCACCTCCACGAGGGGAGGAGCTAACAGTGCTGGGAACCTATATACCCTGGTGTTTAGAGCTCTGTTAGGGTAAGTTGCATATCTTATTTCGAGTTTAGGGTGCTGTATAGACACACCCTTACTTGCTGTGCTCAAGGTATGTGTACTTTTTCTCATTCCTGAGCAAGAAACTTACTGCGCAGTAAGGTGATAGTGTACTCAAGTCTGACAGTACCATTCTAATAAAGATTTGGGTCCCAAGTCTGTGGTTCTTTGTATTAGCAATATTCCCACTGAAGTCACAGGAAGTTTCATTGGATTAAAGAATTGGGCCACGACTTTCTACTAACTGTCAGCATACACATAAACCAAATAAAACTTTAAAGAAAAGCAAAATTTAATTTTGTGTAAAAATTGGTTCTTTTCATTAGTGCACTATAAGCCTATCTGGATACTAGTATAGATGTTATAAAAGGATCTTTCTCTTTTTCTCTCTCTTTCTCTCTGCCTTTCTTTCTCACTTACACACCAATCCACATCTATTAAAATGGACTGTAATACATTCTCCTTAGAGATTGTTTCTATTCTAGATAAATCCCATGCTATATTTTATTGCAAGACATTATACAAAGAAAGGGCTAAACTATGTATTCCTAACTGAGAAATTCAATATTGGAGGCTTCTGATTTGCAATGCAATTGGTTCCAGGGAAAGTGTCGCAAGTCGGGGGCGTCGTAACTTGAAACCTTATTTCTGATAAGCGCTGGGTGCCATTGTAAATGCGGGCCGAGGACGTAAGTCAGGGTTTTTTGTCCCCTTCTGCACTTACAAAAATGGTTGTAAGTGTGGAGGGTTGGAACTCAGCTGGTCGCAAGTTGAGGGCCTCTTGTAGTTCATTGATTTCAATGTTTTTCCTGAGAAAGAATCATAGGACACTACAGGTCTTCATACTTAACAACCCACACATTGAAAGGGAAATATACTTTTTTAAATGGCATTCTGTTCATATTTACTATTTTGGTGAATAAAATCAAGAATACTTGGTTAGGTTCACTAGCTTTTCTGTTGTAGAATGGCCTTAAAATACTCTGAGGGAAGTAGCAACATTGCATTTTTTCAGGCTATGTCTACACTAAGGTTTTTTCCGGGATACTGGAGGTATGCCAGAA